CAGAGACCAGAGACCAGAGACCAGTTCTTCTATGCTCTGAGGTTCTATGTTCCGTATCATGAACATTTCTTTTGATTTCCGATGGTTTTAAGTCATTGTAATGCAGTAACTGTTTTACACTCTGGTTGTAGAATCTATAAATGTGGTTAGTGGTCACGTCCCTGTTGCAGTGCATCATGGGTGGTTAAATGAACAGAGTTTTCCTGGATGCTTGTGGTTCTGAGGTGAACTGGAACGTGGTGTTTTTCCTGGCAGCGGCTCTGGTTCCTCCTCAGGCGTCTGCTCAGGCTGCAGATTCTTCTGGTCTCTGAGGAAATGAGCTTTATGAGCCCAGACGGCTGAGACGCATTTATGATGGAAATCTCTACAGGAAGTCGTGGAGGTTCTGCTGCCACGCTTCATTACTGTCCACATGTGCTGAGAGCCGCCATCAGGCTCAGAGGTCCCACAGGAGGGCAGAGGGTTTCGAACCTGAAACCTGGTGATCCAAGAAGCAGCAGAGTTCACAGTAGTGTGATGACGGTTGTGGAGTCAGTGATTCTGAGCTGTAACGGGACACAGCTGCTCACAGCTGGACGAGCTCAGCAGGAAACAGCTTCAATTTCACTGTTCGTCAGGTTTTAAAAGCTCGTTCCAACTCTTCAGCTGATTCCATAGTTCATAGATTTCATGTCTCTTCCTTAAAGTCCTAAACAACAACTTCAACTGGTTTCTACGATTCAAAGATCAAACCGTTCATCTCGTTCAGGACATGCTGGTTCTTCACAGAGCAGTTCTAAAAGAACCGGCACAAGTCCAGAGAAGGCTCTCACCAAATCTAGTCTGTGGGAGGCTTCTAAAGTGGTGACATCACACGAGTAACTGATGACATCATCACCTTAATTTCAGCAGGAAATTCATTTTTATAGTTGGACCTAAAGTTCTCACGTGTTCCATGTTCCTGAATAAAGTTGAGCTGCTGCAGAAAACCAGGAAACTCACTCATCTGAAATCATCACACATCAGCAACACGTCTCAGTGGTCCTGATCGCTGTCATGGGGGGAGGGGTCATTATATAGGGAGGAGTTGGTGTAGAGGGAGGGGTCAGTGGATAAGTAGGGGTCATGCTCTGATTGATGGAAGCGTCTCCTGCTTTGTTTTTCAGTGTGATCACATACGAGTGCTGCCCAGGATATGAGAAGATTCCTGGAGAGAAGGGATGTCCTGCTGGTATGACCTCTGACCTCTGACTCCCCCAAACACACAAGTCAAATTTCATAATACAACACACAATATAAATGTAGTTGTATCACCATACAATGACTTTCTATTCTATTCTACAACACAATTCAACAGCCTCAAACAGGAGGGAATATATTTAGAAGGTAAACGAACACAGTGACAAAGCTACAGATGCATTTCTAGATGTTTCTGGAGGAGGTGGAGACTCTGCGACTGATGGAGGTGGAGACTGTTTGAGTTTATCATGTGGTCACGATTCTGACGTCAATAATATGTCGTCCATTGAAAACACTAAGCTCAGTTAGTGACAGATCATGACTGATTTAATCTTCCCTCTGGTGTTATGTAGTTTTTTTGTGGAAGATAAAATTTGGTAAAGTTAATGAGTTCAAAAGAAAACACCTCGTCAGTATTCTAAAGGTACTTCTACACAATCGTGATGTCACATCACACTGTCCTATGATTGTATAATGGATGACGAGCGGCTAGTCTGACACGCCCATTAACAAAGCCAGGTAGAGTCATACAAACACTGGAAGCTGTTGACCAATTACAACAAACCTTCAAGACAGAACGTGCTGTTGTCAGGATTCATTGTGTGTGTTTCTGTAGCTCTGCCTCTGGTCAACATCTACAACACTCTGGGTGTCGTCGGAGCCTCCACCACTCAGATGTACTCTGAACGAGCCAAACTGAGGGAAGAGGTTGAAGGTCCAGGAAGCTTCACCTTCTTCGCCCCGAGCAATGAGGCCTGGGCCGCCCTGCCCACAGTCAGTACCAGTCACAATCCGCCCGTGAAAATAGTACCAGATGCACTATTTCCTACTTTTTTCTCAAACATGACAGCGACCTCAAGAAGCCACCTGGCACCAGAACAGATGAACTGCTGTCAAAACACATTGATCTCATAGAAACCACCTCTCCTCTGACGAGCACCCACCGATCCTCATGACGTGTGACATTGTGTGACACAGTGTGACATGAGTGTGTGAGTGTGTGAATGTGTGTGAGTGTGTGAGTGTGTGTGAGTGTGTGTGTGTGTGTGAGTGAGTGTGTGAGTGTGTGTGTGTGTGTGTGTGTGACATGAGTGTGTGAGTGTGTG